GTATAAACAAAAAAGTTGAATCTGTTGATTAAATTCAGATTGAACAGAAATTACATAAGACTTTTTCAAAGGAAAAAACAGCTTATAATTGTTACAGTTGATTATAGAAAAATTTTAAATAAACTCATAACTTTTTTATGAAAGAGAATTAGTTTTCAAAATCAAGTTGTATCCAAATACGTTATGAATTTTTATAAAATAATGAATTTTTCATATTTCAGTAACTGATAAAAAGGAAAATACCATATTTCCTGAATTTTTACAAATCATAATTTCAGGAAATATGGTAAGAAGTTTAAAATTTGAATTTTAAGATATTTTTATGGGAGAAATGTTTAAATAATCAATTGTATTTTTAGTTAAGTAAAAAGTTAGAAAAACCTTTTTCATTGCATTGTCATGCATCATTATTTCCATGCCATTCTGAACATACAATAACTTCTAATATTATAGTATTATTTTGAAGTGTTCATTTTAGAAGTGAAAAAAAGAGGTTTATTTTAAACACTTGTCATTAGTAAAGCTTATTTGAACTGATTATGACTAATTAAACAGTAGTTTTAAAAGCATTTATTATAGATAGCAAATGGGAATATGATGAATTATATAATGACTTCTGATTATTATTTTTGACAGTGAATGTTAGATGTCATAAATTCTAGAATGTTTCTTCTTTTCAGACAAGCCAAATGGATTAAAAAAACACATCTTGAATATTGAGGAAATATATTTTCAATTGACAAGATTAAGAAAGGAACAAACCTTTTACGGAAATATCTCTTGTCTAACTATAAACAAGATTACTTTATGTATTTATACTTCTTGCTGTTTTTTAAAATTCATTTTAAAAGATACAATGATGAAATTTAGTATTAATCTGTACAAATAGCAGCGAAAATGGTTCTCTCTTCATATTCAGAAAAAAACTAAATCAAATTAAACTAATCTATAATAAAAGCTTTTAGTTATGTTGTTTATGAAGAGTGACATCAGGAGTTTGGAAATTATGATCATATTTAGTTTTTGACAAATGCATGAATCATCTATTTTTAATAAGTTTTTATTTATTAGTCTTTTTAAATGTCTTTTAATGATTGACACTAATACTTGATATGGTTAATTTTATATAGACTGATTTGAATAAGAAAGGAAAAACTCTGTTGTTGCAATATCAAACAATATGAACTATAAGATTATTTTACATTGCTAGTCTTGTTACAATGCCAAGCAGTCAAATTTATTTCCTTGTTAGTAGTTTATTTTTTAAGGCATTAATTAAAACAAGCATTCGTGATTGATTTTATTATTTTTTGTTTTTATTTTTCTTCCAGTTATGATCAAAATATTAACTGCAGTTTGTTTTTAGAAGTCCAAGTGTCCTCTTCTTGAACCAACATATCATTGAAGCATCAGTGTGTCTTTGTCATTTGTCTTTATTCTGTTTATTTGTGATAAGTATAAAAATTGAGGATCTTTTGTCAAGTAATGGCTCTATTGCTAGGAAAAGTTTTCCTGTAAATCTTCAAAGGATAATGCTTGAAAATTGTAATCTCCTTATGTAAGGGAAAAGTTGAGTAATAAATGGTATGATTGTTTTCTGTTACTATTAAATGACCTTTACGAAAACATTTTTTTTCTTTCTATGTTGCTGTTTGCATATATTGTAAAGTTAAACTTGCATCGTCCATTTAAATTATGTATTTTTATGTGTTTTAAATTCTCTCTTTTGTACATTAAATAATTATACTTTTATTATTTTTTTTTATCTTTACATACAAATAATAAAATATAATCTTTCACTGGATGGAACAGTAAGCAATAGCTTTCCATAAAAATGGGAAAAGCAGTCTTTTGATTTAAATTTATTTTTGAATATCTTCACAATATAAAAGCTAAGTTTTTGAGTTTAAATCTCCTTGAAAAAAATCAAATATTGTTTCAGTAGTTTCTCTCCTGTGTAGAGTCAGTAAAAATAGATTACCACTATCAGTATACAAGTATCTTACAGTTGTCTACTTTTGATCCTTAGCTCATGATAGGTTGGGATTTACTCCAAAGTCCAAAAACTGCTGTAGTGCTGCTAACTTTCAGACTATACTCATAATATCTCTCCATGCATTTTGGTCCATGACTACAGTTTAGCATCTTGGAGAGTGGAGCACAGGTTTTTCAGGCCCCCTTCAATTATACAGTCCCTGGCCAAATTATTAGATGAACTACAGATTTTTCATAATTACATGTTTTATACCCAGTCTGGTGTAGGTCTATCTTATAAATCATAATTTTGATAAATGAAACTTATTTTTTAATGTCATTGTATACCTAATTTTGTTTTATTTCATTATAATGTTAATTTATTGGTAGGTATCAGAGCTTAGACACTAAAGTGTAGCATACAAGTATGAATGTCTTTCAGTCACGTTCTCGCTTGCTACTGGTGTGGATGTGTTTCTGTTCACCTCTCGCGTAATTGTATACCACGAAATAAATACAAGTGCTTGTTTTCTTCGATAGTAGTATTTTTACCAACTAGATATAATCAATTGTAATCTTTTGACATGATCAAAAAGGGGGACCTTTCACCACATAAAAAAGCTGAAGTCAAAGCCCTTGTTAATACAAAAATGTATTCCAACTGTGAAATTTCATGAAGGTTGAAGGTGTCTGAAACTAGTCTGTGACGTATAAAGAAAAAAGTTGAATCAGATCAAGATCTGAGTCTGAAAAGAAAAAATAAATGCAGCAGAAAGCCAGTTTTCACCCCAAGGTCAGAAAGATGTCTTAAGAAAATTTGCTTAGAAAACAGATTTGCTACCACTAAATCAATAAAATCTCAATTGGAAGATGCAAATGTGAATGCTTCTGAGTGCACTGTTCACAGAAAATTGAAAGATCTGATTTTTAAGGCTTGCCGACCAGCAAGAAAACCCAAGTTAACAGTTGCAATGAAAGCAAAGTGTTTGGAGTGGGCTAAACAGTGGCGCGATAAGGATGTAGACTTCTGGAGATTGGTAATTTAACATTAAATAGATTATTTACTATAAAATAGACAAATTAACAGTAGATACTTGATTCATAAGATTTTTTTTTTTTTCTCAGGTCTGTTTCAACGATGAAAGCCCATTTGAAATTTTAGCCAACAAAGCTCATTTTGCTTGTTGTCATAGAGGCAAAAAATTTCATTCTGACTGCATCATTCAGACTGTCAAGCACCCCATGAAAGTAATGATTTGGTCCATCATTTGTGGCAAAGGCACTGGGCGCCTGTATGTAGTAAAAGGCACCATAAAGCAAGACCAATATAAAGAAGACTTGCACAGGTTAGAGAATGGTTCCCAAATGGGGAATCATTTATTTTTTATGCAAGATGGAGCTCCCTGCCATACAGCCAGGTCTGTGAAAACATATCTACAAGAGCAAAATATCCCTCTGTTGGATTGGCCAGGTAATAGTCCTGACATGAATCCCATAGAAAATGTGTGGGAGCTCATGAAGAGGGAAGTGGCCAAAGAGGTCATCACAACCAAAATGCAGCTTTTGGAAAAAATCATCCATGTATGGAATTATCATCCACAAATGCAGGAGATGGTCTAGTCTTGCATTGACAGCATGCTGCATCGGATTGAGGCTCTCATAGCTGCAAAAGGTGGCTCAACAAAATACTAAAATTTAAATGGCAATTTTGTATTTTTTTTACTATGTTAATAAAAACAAAAATTTACAATAAATATAACGTTTTATTTGTGTTAGCACTTATGTAATAAAGTAAACTGTACATTACAGGTTAAATTCATTGGTAATAAATATTCAAAGACCAAATTGTACTTTTTTTACTATGTTAATAAAAACAAAAATTTACAATAAATATAATGTTTTATTTGTGTTAGCACCTATGTAATAAAGTAAACTGTACATTACAGGTTAAATTCATTGGTAATAAATATTCAAAGACCAAATTGTAGTAGCTGATAATTAAAATTTGCATAAAATCTATAGTGTGTCTAATAATTTGGCCAGGGACTGTAATACTAAAGTATAAGAACATTAAATTTTCCAAACAGATTAAAATTTTCTTAAATTTTTCAATTTCTCAATTATTATTATTATTATGTTGCGAATGTCATGCTCAACTGATACTGATGGCAAGTGCTATGCTAGACTAAAGTTAAGACATAGCTATCCAAACAAGTGTAACATTAAACTGTGTTATTGGTGTTTGTGTCAATGTCTAGAAACTTCCTCACAATGTGACGTGTTCATTATTGCAGCTTTTTGTAGTTCTGTGTATATGTTGTTATTAAGGTTTAATATTTCTAGACTTTTGTGTAGTGTATGTGATGTGACACCGGTAGATGAAAGGATAGATACAATAAATACCTTATACATCCTCCACCTTTTTTTTATTTCTTGAGTGTAGTGTACTTGTTGGTTTTTTCAGTGTGGGCATTTTTTATGTTACGACTATTTGGAACAGAGATGTCTATTATATAAGTGATCTTACTGTATTTGTCAATGAGAGTGATGTCAGGTCTATTGTGATGAATTGTTTTATCCATGATTATGGCTCTGTCATAGTATATTTTGTGTCATTTTCTAACACTGTCTGTGGAGTATGTGTAGTTTGGTAGCTGGGTGTTATTATTATTATTTTTTTTAAAGTTTAATAAATTTAGCTTTTTACTTCACTTGTAAATTCTCTGAAACGAAAGAAAAATTTAAGATAATCAACCAATGTTAAGATTTTTATTTCCATTTGAAAGAGTTTATAGAGTAAATGCCAAGTCAAATATTTTATATCTGATATTCTTACAAATTAAGATATTTGGCTTGAAAAAATAGGATAAATTGATTTACTGATTTAGAATAATTAGTAAATTAATTTAGATAATTTTCAGATAGTCTAATATTTTAGTCCCATATTTTAGAATGACAACATATGTTATATATAGATACTGTATATAACAACAAATTTATTTCTCTTCAAAGGTTGATTACAGCTTACTCTGTATACATATGGCCTTTCATCTCAACTTTCCTTTTTCTACTTTTTTTTTTATTTTTGTGTTCAACTTTGCTATTCTTTTCTCGTATTAACTCCCAAAATCCTGCTGGGATTTTGGGAGTTAATAGGGTGCTTATTTCCAAAATATCTCGCATACGCCTGCCATGTTTGTATAGTATATACTCATATACAATGATTGTCAATTTAAAATTAATTTTTTGCATGCTTTTCTGTTTATTTATCATACAACTGAGGAATGCTGTACACAAATTTTAGAATTTTTATGAAAGTGATTTGACTTTTGACAAATTGGTTACTTCTCATCTTTTATTTTAATTAACCTTTTTACAATAAAACTCCATTTATATAAAGGATAGAAATGACTGAGTTACAAGAAGCAAATAAAACCTGGCTAAAATATGGGGTGACTCACTTGAGACTGAACACTTAAGTGGAATATCTGTATAAAATGAAAAGATTAGCATAAAACATGAATGGAATGATTCTTTATTCATGATAAAGCAGTTGACCAAGGTATGATTTACATTGTATGTTATTCACACATGACTGTCAGCAAAGAAAGTTATGCAACTCATTGCTAGATTTAAAAAAATAATAAAACACAGCATTGAAACATATCATCATTAATCACAAGTCAAATCTAATAAAGATCACCTCAGATTTTATGTTATAAAATAGTTTTCCATTATTTTCCTATAGTGTTTAATTATTTATTTTATTAATTAGTAATTTAATATTACACCCAATATAACTTTTTATATTTTTTCTAAGGCAGTGACAGACAAGAGCTCTGCATCATGTAACATGCAACGAACAAAATGTTCTCTTGTTTGGACAGCCTGTGAACACGCACTACTCCATTGTGGCAGCTGCGCACCCCAAACCATTTTTTGTTGGTATTTGCCATGAACACAAAGGGTTTTGTCAGTGCAGCATTCTTTATTTCCGACGTTCACACATACCACCTTGGTACTGATATGTGTGATACAAAATGATCCTTACAAATCTTAAACATGAGACATAATGTTGATACATAATTGACAAAAACTTAATTTTTCCAAAACTCTGGACTTTTCTAAAATAGTGTGGGACGTAGGACAAATTGTTAAAAATTGGGACTATCCTGCCAAAAGCGGGATGTCTGGCCACCTTAAACAAGATACAACATAAACTTTCATGAAAAATATAACCATTTATGAATATTTAAGACTTGATTTTATCCTTTTTTATATTGATTATAAAACAATTTTTCATTTTAAACTTTATTTTCTAAAAATAATTTTCCATTAAAAATATGTTTCCTTCAGATCTGTTTTTTAGATTTTTATCTTTTTAAATTGTTTATCTCATTAGAATGTAATTGGACTACAATTTGAAAAGATTGTAGACCTATAAATTTCCACTGTCATCTATCTGTCTTTCCTTAATATTGAGAACTGGATTAGATAAATGAAATTTAAGATCAGATATGGAAAGCTTAGGGGCAGGAGGCCCTGATTAACTAAATATAGACTTCTAGTTTGTACCAGAAGTTTCATGTTGTTTTAATTAAAAAGTTTTTTCCTAAACAGAGTTAGATTATCAGCATGACTCTATTTTTTTAACAGAAAAAGTATGTTGTACAGGGCAAGACATACTACTAAAATCAAGGCCTATATATTAAATTAAATTAATTAAAAATATGATTAAAAATTGCAGCTTGGCATTGTGATGATGCCACAATAAATAATTACTCATCTGAAGATTGAACTATGATCATTGATTGATAGATTTATGATATTAATATTTTTTAAAATATATACAAAATAATTATAATAGTATACTGCAATGAATTTTCTTAATAAAAATATTTTTNCGTATTTTGGAAATGTTGAGTGGAATTAGTCTAGAATCGGTTAATTTTATAGAAGAAAACCTTTCGAACAGCCTTAGTCCGTAAAGTTCCCACCTATCGGGCTGCGATTGGCTTATGTATTTAATCATTCCTACAATGTAAAATTCGATTAGCGTGGAACTTATCTAAGCGTTATAGGGGGGTCTACTGTATATTTAAGTAAACATTGCAGGCAATGTTGAGTTTTAAATGTATGTATATGATAAAAGTACTTTCTATTCGTGATGATATTTTTAATAAATTTTATCAGCATTGTGAATATAAAATAGCTCTGTTATTCATAATTATTATATTATTTCTGTTAAAATCACTTAATTAGACATAGAACAGGAAAGAGCTCATCAAGAATTCTTAGCAGGAGTACAAAATTTTAAACGTTCTACTCTTCAACGTACTGAAACTCAAGAAAAGATTGTTCTTCCAACTGAAGAAGGTATATTTAAGTCAGTTTGAATCAAACAGCAGCAAATGCATATCTGCTCAAAATTTTAATAAGCATAAAATTAATTCAATTATAAATATAAAATGTCCCCCAAACACTGAAGCTCCAGTTTGAAAATATAAATTTAATGCAAAACAGACAGTTTAGATTCTTAAGCAACCAGTACTAGCCACATTTGCAACAGATCAACATATTCAAGTTCATTTTGACAAAGCCAAACTTTTACAGTGCAGGGACCAATGAAACCAACTTAGACATGTGGAGAATTTTAATTTAACTTAGACATGTGGAGAAATTAAAATTTCTCCACATGTCTAAGTTGATTTCATTGTGTCATAAGTTGGTTTCATTTCCCTATTAGCCTTGTGGAGAAATTTTAATTTCTCCACAAGGCTAATAGGGAAAGAACAATCAAATTTAAGGATAATAATACACTTCTGAAAGCATGGACATTGTTATTTGAAGTCAACGTTTAATTTTAACCAATTGGATATTGTTCTAACCTTTTAAATTTTGTTTGTTCCAAATATATGTTCTTATTTAGAATAGTTCTGTATGTTAGAATAGTATCCTGATGATGTTTGCTTAAGGCAATTGAAAACATTTATTTTTATTAGATTTAATTTTCAAACTGGAGTTTTAGTGTTTGATGGACATTTTATATAATATAATCCAGTTAATAAGCTGTTTTATGCACAGTTAATTCACTGTACTAAAAGGAAAAAATAATAAACACAATACACACTAAACTTTACTACTAAAATTAAAATCATCTGTTTATTTATATAATTCAATATATATGGATATATTGAATTAAAGATATGCCTAACACAAAAACTAAATTAATAAATTAAACATTGCAGTTAAAAACATTACAGTAAAGTGTTCTAACAATATGCTGAAGTTAATTTTAAATGCTTCATTTTGCAATTTAAAATTTATGACTGTAGTTTAAAAATATTATTTGCTGATAAAATGCTTTTAATTATTATTTAATTAAGAACATTTAAAAAAAAATATTATTAATGGAAAATGGTAAATAATAGAATAGAAACATAATCAAAATTTTTATTTTTGATGAATTTATGTAATTATTAGTTTCATTTTTATTAAATTAAACATGTTTCTTTCTTTTCCTTTTATATAGTTTACAAATTTATATAAATTTCATATTAATCATTATTGTCAGATGTGAAAGAAGAAAAAAAGCATATGGAACTAATAACAGGAGTACAGAATTTTGAAAAATCAAAATTACAACAAACTAAAACACTTGAAAAGATTGTTTTGCCTACAAAAGAAGGTATATTTTCAAAGCATGCATGGAAAATGTATCTTGTCACCTGAATGTAATAACTAACAAAAACTAAGAAAGAAGAAATTAGTGTTTTACCTGTAATATTCAAAAGCATCAACAAATAGTAATTATAAATATTAATGCTTTTGAAATGTTCCATAAATAATCACAATATAACATTTTAATTAATATAAAGTATTCTAATTTGAAAACTTATTTTATTAACATAATAATTTTTTTATATTTGTAATTTTAATAAACTTAATTTTTGATAAAACTTGGAAAGTAATATGCCCATATGAATTTATAATTGTTTTCTTATTTTGAGTATTTATATTAATAAATTATATATTCACCCCAAGGTCAGAAAG